ACTCCTATGTCACAAGACTGAGTCTTAATCAAGGAACTGTGTATGCCTGATTAGATTCAGAATTGACACAGGCTAGTGACCACTGTATGCCTTGTTCTCCCTGTGTTTGGATGGGAGTATCAATTATGGTTTCCCTATGCCTGATTCACTACTATATGTTGGGTATGTAGGAAAGAAGACTGAAAACTGGTCTCAGGTCATCACTGCCAAGAGCAAAGGCAGTAAAGAACCTGCACCATCAGAACTACACCAGGGAGATGCATGCACACCTGAAACTTGATTTGGAGCTTGTAATAATAGGCTAGTGTTTAGAAATCCTGAAGGTATAAACAAGTATAATTTCCATAGGAAAAGGATATATTGGGGCACCTGGGTGGCTCAGTCGGTTAAGCGTCTGACTTCGGCTCAGCTCATGATCTCATGCTCTGTGAGTTCAAGCCCCGCATCAGGCTCTGTGCTGACAGCTCAGAGTCTGGAGCCTGCCTCGGATTCTGTCTCTGTCTCTGTCTCTGTCTCTCTCTCTCTGCCCCTCCCCCACTTGCACTCTCTCTCTCTCTCTCTCTCTCTCAAAAATAAATAAACATTTAAAAACAATTATTTTAAAAGACATTTTGGAAAAGGATATAAATTATTGTGCCCAAAGGGCAGATGATGGCAGATTTTATTTTCCAAAATTGACAGCAAAAGTATCTCCCATTTTTATCACAAAGCACCATTGACACTCCTTCCATTAAGAAGTGGGGTTCATATTCTCTCCCCTTGAATCTGAGTAGACATGGAATTATATAGTATAAGTGATTATCTGTGACTTCTAAGGCTAGATAGTAAAAATAACACCTGTTTTTTTTTCAGATGGTTGTTCTCATAATCTAGCCAGTATGTCATGAGGAAACCAAGCAATCCATGAAGAGGAAAAATGGTCCCCAGCCCATAAACCTAGCCAAACTCTAAGCTATCACCAACTTGCCAGCCATTTGTGGGCCATCTTGAAAATAGGTCCCTTATCCCCCACTTGAGCAGCCCCAACTCATACCAAGTGGCACAGATAAGCTGTCCCTGTCAAATGAACTCACCAAACTTGCAGGTTTGTGAACAAATTCAATGACTGATGTTCCTCTAAGTAAGTTTGGGATGGCTTTTTAAACTTTGTTTAACGTTTATTCATTTTTGAGAAACAGAGACAGAGCATGAGTGGGGTAGGGGCAGAGAGAGAAGGAGACACAGAATTCAAAGCAGGCTCCAGGCTCTGAGCTGTGAGCACAGAACGCAATGCGGGACTCGAACTCATGGACTGTGGCATCATGACCTGAGCTGAAGTCAGGCGCTTAACCAACTGAGTGGGGTGACTTTTTAAATAGCAATAGATAACTGACACAGACATCATCTCCTTCATGAAGTCTTCCCCAAGCTCCCAGGTGAAGTTAAGTTCCTTTTGTCTGTTCCCCAAATACTTTGTATAACATTGACTTAAATTTATTACACTCTATTGAAATTAACTATTCACTTGTCTGCTTCCATGAGAGTGAAAGAACAGGCCTGTGTCTTCTGGAAAAATTAGCTCTTCAAATATGTTACTTTTGCCTCATTTTCCCTCTCCTCTCCTTCTGAAGCTTTAAATAAACAAATTAGAATTTTCTAGTGTATCCTCCAAGTCTCTTACCTTCACATTAAATTTTTCATCTCTGTCTCTCTGTGCAACATTCTATGAAACTTCTTCTGCCCTAATTTCCAGCTCACTAAATCGCCCTTCAACTGAATCTAATCTGATGTTCCACTTATCCAATGAGTTTGAAATCTGAGGTAGTGTGTGTGTGTGTGTGTGTGTGTGTGTGTGTGTGTG